CTACATTTTACTCTAGATTTTACTCGTACTGAGTTTTTGCCATGTTATTACCACCATTATTGCAATAATAACTGAGTTTTTGCCATTTTTTTTGCCACCCTTATTGCGCCAATTCTTGCTAACGCCACGTACTAATGCTTTAAACTAGTAGTAAAACCTTAGTCATCTGAGCCTGTGGGGTGCATTACTATATCACCCGCATACAATCATCATATTTACGCGTCCACAACTCTACCAGCATCTTGCAAGAAGAAGATTTCCAATCCAAGAAGACCAAGCTTCAATCTTCAATGGACTATAGTCAATCAAATTCAGAAACTGGCAACACTGATTTCCAGAATATGTTTGAAACACGGTCTACAGATACTAACAGCCTGATGTTTGCTCAAAATGACCACCTTCCAGCTTCACAATTGCATCAAACCAATCTCACTCCAAACGGACTTATCAATAATAGTCTTAACAATCAATTTGGCATTAATCAAGGCCCTTTTAATCATTCATTTAATACAAATGGTCCTGCTAATCATTCAAATCCAACTATGCATCATAATCAGAATCATAATCTCAATCAACTCGATACCAATCCCATTGATCTTGATCAATGTATTCCTATTTACACGAATCCACGTCAAACAATCAGTCTCAATCAAAATAACCATCTTAATAGCAATCTACATCCTATTATTGATCCTGCTCGACAGTTACATAGCCGTATTGATATCAATCAAACTAGCCTTTCAACCGTTAACCGAGATCATCTGATTGATACAAGTAATTACCAAGATAATCAAACATCAAATCCCAACCAAACTCATCATCAGATTACAGTTCCAAGACCTCAACGTGCACCTATAACTATCAACCTCAATTCTCTAACCAATTGCGCATCAACTGAAACAGATTCATCGAACTCATGCTTCCAACAGCCATCTCTCGCACAGCAAGTAAGACCTACCCTACCAATGCCATCAATGCCACCTGTACAATTAAATCAAACTTCACAAACAACAAAGAAGGCATCATCGCGAGTGAAAAAATCGACCCAAAGTAAGAATGCTAAGGAAAAACCAACAGAAAAGCAACCTACACACGTAGGAGACTCGACAACAGCCACCACAACAGCCACCAAGACCTCGAAGGCCACCATTGATGAGTTTCTAGCACCATCGTTCCGTTTACCTGATGATGTAAAACTCCCAGAACAATTTACAGTTGATCAATTGTATAATAAATTTAATGCTGCAGAGCTTAGAAGGATGGCCGACAAGCATAGCCGAGGAGACGGTACAAAGAAAGGCGGATTGTCGAAAGCCAAAAAAGAAATCCTCCGCAACTTCCATTACTCCTCCGAGAAGCTTCTCGCGATCTTGTGCATACATCTTGGAATATCACAAGATGTTGCGGCAACGGAAGTGTGAGATCCGATCATCTTGATTATCTACATATTTGATTCCGTATTCATCTCAATTTCTCTTCCTCACAGTGGAAAATGGACGTATCTCCGAGCTTCAAGGGCTTACGATTACTTCAAGGGGACTCAGCAAGTGAGGGAGATCTACCGGAACAGTGAGTAGAAGTGGTATCATTCCTAGATGTTTGTGAAGATTTTAAATTGAGACATATCAATATTCACAGACGGCGGAGCAACAAATAACGTAGCTGTGCAACTGGTGAAGGAGCTCTGGGCCACCTTATCACAGGACGAGAAGGAGGCGTTGATTCCCAAGGATTGTGATATTGACACATCAGACAACGTCGATGAAGGTCTCGATAATTATGGTCTCGATCATGTAGAGATACCAGACAATAGACCCATTCAAAAGGGCCTAGTCACAGTGGTTCGTGGATCCAACGATGAAGTTACTCGTCAGGCTGGCTTGCGGACAAGGGGACGCGACTTAGAGCGCTCAAGAATTCACTGCGAAGATTTTGTATCCGATTTTATCAAGAAGGTATGTATCCCCTTATTTCTCTGTCCTTTTCATGCATCACTTCATTAATAAGCATGCTGATTTGGTGGCTTGTAGGCAAACCACATGTCTCGCATTCATCCGGTCCAATTCACCATCACAGCGGTGTCGACTCACCTTTCAACACATTGCTTTCAATTCATGGCCACTACACCTGGTCTGTGGGATTGGGCTGACTATGACCTCGGTTCGTCTGCAAAGCATGAAAGCACTACCTCAAAAATGCAAGCGTATGTTACAGGTAAGACAATCGCAGGCCTTGTACGGCCTAAGAGAGCAAGTGAGTCCCATAATTCTATCTTGTATCTTTTTCTGACGTGAACAATAACAGTCTTCTACTTTACAACCTACTTCCAGGAGGTCCAACAGTGGAAAAGGATAAGTTGAAGGACAGTTTGAACCAGATAATGCGTATGTATTAGAACATTATTGGTGCTTATGTTACAATGGCTCACTGTACCTTTTTGCAGAAAAAGTTACTAAGAAGCCGCAAGGGCGTTGGCCGTGGTCAAATTGTGAAGATCGACTGCGAGACGAAGGTTTCAACTTACAATACGAACCATCCGACTGCCTCTACAGATCTTGGATCACTAAACCCAATTCTGGTCTCACGGAAGAAATGGCTCGAAGAGTAAACATTGACATGCTTTTGAACCCCATCTCCCTCATCCCGATTGAGGGCTTCATTCTTGACAAGTATCGGGTGAAGAACAAGAAGCGGAGGATGTCTTCTGAGACGGAAGAAGCCCGCATAGGGGAGAATGGAGATGATAGTGACTGAGCAATGGGTATCTGATCACGATTTATGATCTTTTTGCATGTTTTCAGTTTCAGTTTTTGGAACTCTATAAATAATATTTGCCGTTTCACCGCTAATGATCACATTACTGAGAGAGAAGCAAACTATGACTCGTTATTCAACGCCTTGTTTTCCCTGTCGAATGTAAAAGTTTCAACAAATAATCTTGTTTTCTTTCATTTTAATCGTATAACTTTCAAGTCATTACATCCAGTTTTTCATTACGATTGGAAAACCTTTTTTTATTTCAATCCCATAACTTTCAAGTCACAACAATTCTTCTTGTTGTTCATTCTGAGTGGAGTGCAAGACAAAACAAACCACTATTTGTCTTTATTATCATTTGATTCTCGAGAAGATTTTTGGTTTTTTATACAAAAAAGTATATGTATAGGATGCAAATGTTCAAGTTGGAAAGGAAACTTTCATTCTGCACATAGGTAGGTAGTCAAGGACACAAGATTGTAAAATATCAAGATGTTCCTCATCTTAAACATCACGGATTTGTCAATACATTAAGCATCTTGAAATGAACATACTTGTCAGTCCATCGTTTATCTTCTTATTTACAAATGAAAAGTAGGACTATCTTGAATCGAGAGGTTACACATGATTGACAAGATCCTGATGGTTACAAGGGGCTCAGCACGCCTAAAGCACGCCTGGTGGTCGCTAAAAGGGACTGGCCCGTATGGTTTCTCACCAGATTTCTTAAGCCGGATTTGGTCAAGTTCGGGTCAAGATTTTGAAAAAAATCTTGGCCAAGTGTGAGCCTGTATCGGGGTCCGTTCTCAAGTGTTATCTGAGAACAGTTGAGAACACGCAAAATCCACTACCAGTCGATTTTACATCTCTCCTCGACTCGACTGGTAGTGGAAGAATACAGGGTTCCGCGGTGGACCGGATGATGATCGTTACTGAGACAGTGTTTTCCGTTGCAGCCGAAGTGCGTTCACATCACGAAGCAATGTGAAACGTTATGGATGCCGTTCCGCTGCAGTTGTTCATGCAACAACTTTTGAAGGCAGTGAAAGGATCTCGCTCCAACAAGATAACACACCGCTATGTTTCATCCAATTAAAAAACCTCCTGATCCACTACTTCTCAGGGGATGAGTCTGGTGAGAGTGTGGAAAGACTCAGATTACAAACTATCAATTCTCAGATGATAGCACGTACCAAGGAAGGGTCTACCCTCCTATTGAGTTGAGTTTTAGTTGGTGTAAAAAAAATTTTCAATTGATTTTTTTTCTTGGGTTTGAGAAAAAAAAAGTGTAAGGTTCGGGAGGAACCTTCACTAGACACGTCGAGCGGGACACTGTGAGGCACAGTGAAGGGTTTCTAGAACCCAAGAGACCTGATTTTGATTTCAAATCCAATCGAGAACACGTCTGGTTCCGAAGGATAGAGGGATTATAATCAGTCCCGATATCTCTAAGGATAACAATAGTAATAATAAAAGAAAAGAAAGAAATAAGAAAGTAATGACTATACCTGGTTCCGAAGGATAGAGGGATTATAATCAGTCCCGATATCTCTAAGGAACCAATCGGCAAGATCGAAATGAAAAGAACTATATATAGAAAATGAAATTTAAGATTTAAGTATTTAATATTTAAGTAATATCGTTACACGAATATAATCTACTACTGGTGGTGTGGGGGTATGCCCCGAAGGGGCAGGCTACCGGTGACAGACGTCTATCACCGGGATATGCCCGACCCTCCGGGGTGATAACAAAGAGCCCCAAAGGAGGGCTTCTCTTTCCCCTTCCTCACGGGGGTTATAGCCGTGAGCCTAGAGAAGCCCCCACTCCTGTAGCCACCGTGAGCAAACTATGTATGCTTGGAAATTTAAAGTTTCATTTGGTGATCTACTCAATACACCCACATGTGCTCAGACTCAACTATAGTTCAAGGGCTGATCTTCCGCCTTTTACTGGTCAGCCCGTCTCCCAGTTGATACTCGACTGAGATCACTGTAGCCTTAACGTCACGCTCAACTTTCTCACAAAGTAATAGCACGGCTTCATTTCATTTCCACTGTAGGTCTTGTAACAATCTTTTTGTTTTGTCCAATTCTTTATCTGAGAACTTCCGCAGGTAGATGATATATGCATCAGAAGCCCATTGACCGCACTTTTTCACCTCCTCTCGGTCTGCTCCTAAGTTCCAGCACAGCAATGCTCCGCCTATGCGGAATGAATGCCCATGTAGCATTTGCTTCGACTTCAAACGCCTTGAGTTCCAGATAGACTGTAAGTGTTTGATAGTCTCCTGTTTCCCTAGCCGTCTCCGCTTGCCTCCAGCTAATACCGAGAAGATCTCTTCACTTGGTTTCCTCGGACGGAAGGCCAGCCACTCCTCTAGAATCGAAACTGGATCTAGTAGTGAATCTTGACGATGAAGAACTATGTATTGTACTTCCCCGGGGCCTGCTGTTTTTGCGTTGTAGATGCGTATCGTCACTCTCGACCGATCTTCATTCCACTCTACGTCATCCCAGCATGGGAGTTTCTTCTTCACGTCGTCTGAAATCAGTTCACCCAACCTCGCTGTCCCCCAGAATGCCACTAGTGCCACTACTAATCTAGCTAACCCTAGTTCCCCTTGTTCCGGCAGAATCTCGAACAGCACTACCAGGTCCAAGATTAACACTGGAGGCCTTTTCTTCTCTATCAATTGAAACTTTGCTTCTATCATCCTCGATGCTTTCAGTAAAGCCTTCACTCCTTCATTCGCACAATGCGGATAATCTTCGTTGTGAAAGAGATGCCATGCTTTTATGCCGGCTATATAGGCTTTCATTGTTGAGTATTTCACTGACTCATCATCCTTTGCTTTCCTTTCACTCTTTTTCGATCCCCAGACTACGAACTCTCTTATGAGTCTTGACAATATTGGTAAAAGCTGACTTTTCTCGACCCCTTTTAGTAGAGCGAATCTGTGGAGCTTCACCACTCCCAAGTTATAACTCTTCAATGTTCCGTCACCCCATGCCCCTCTCAAATAGTGCTGCTGTACCTCATCCGAGTCCGATGTATCCACACCTAGGGCGTTCTTTTTGAAGGTTCCGAAAGGTCTCGTTGCTTTTTTCAATGATTGTACATCTGGCATCCTCCACCGAGCCTCTCTTCTCTCGCCTGAAAAATCTCCCCAATCAAAACCGTCAGTCCCAGGTCTAGTGTCAAGTAGCGAATCTATTAACCTTTACCTGTCAGCGCTAATTCGGTTGCTTTTCCTCTGGGAAGCCAATTTTAGGAGGGAAAACCTGCTTGAGTACGAAGCGCAGGTCGATTGGCACTTCTACTTTCACTTCGTTGAACCAGAGTAACTTCCCCAGCCAGCCCCTTGAGAGCGCGTCCGCGTCATTGCCTTTTGACGTAACACGTTTTGCCTCAATATCGCAAGCCAAACCCGTGAGTAAACGTTGGATGTTCTTCCACTCCTCATTCACCCACTCATCTCTCGATTTGCGCTTCTTAACGGCTGCTTGGGATGTAGTATTATCCGTCCAAACATTGAACTTTTTCCCTATAGGACCAAAAACCTTATCAGTCTTACGCCTTCGTGCCTGTTACTTCCTTGGGAGTACTCACCTGCCACATGTCTCAGGGTGCTTAGAACAACTAGACCCAGTCTTATCGCGACCGATTCAGCCCATGCAATCGAACGCTTGCCTGTCTGTAGGTTCAGCGTCTGCCATCCTTTCTCAAACTCGAAACATGCCTATTGATCGCCTATCAGAATGCTGATACCGAACGACGACAAAGCATCCCCCACCCAAGCGATCTCCGTCGCTTTCGGCAAAGGAATCAGCGCTCGTGAAACAAATGAATGCAGGCACCTTCTCCACTCTTTGAGATCTACTCTAACGTACTCTGGCACATGCCTCAGTGCCGCTTTGTTAACCCATTCCTTTAACCACTTGTAGAACGAGCGCATGTAAGCCTTCATATGAGGGACAATATACACCGTATGAACTAGATTTCCTAGTAGACTCTCCATCGTGTGAAATGCCCAGGGGGATGTCAAGTTAAGTAAGTCTTCTATTAGCTGCTTCCTCTCTCTCAACTTGTCTTCTGGAAGCCTGACAGTGTGATCTTTCGCGTTCCAGATAAACCCCACATAACGTTGTTCCGTCGCGAATTCATGGTTTTTCGCCGGATTTGTTTCTACGCCCAAGCTATTGCTTAATGTTGTTATGTCTGCTAAGGATGTTGGATCTCCCGGTCTTCGAAAGATTAAGTTGTCATCGACCCAACAAAAGATCTTCCGTATGTTCAAGATTCGTTCAATTAAGAGCTTCCAGACATGTGCTGGGGCCCCAAACACTCCGCAGCTTGCAACCCCACCAAATCCCACAGCTAAGTCGACCCACACTCTTCCATAGAAGTCTAGAATGCATAAAAACCTCCTCTGACTAGGGTGTACTGGTAGTTGACGGTACGCTTTCCTCCTGTCGAAGATGGCAATTTCCCATTCTCCAGGATTTTCTTGGAAGAAAATTGCTACTTTCACTGTGAACATCATTCAACTTCCCCAAGTTGGAAGAGGAAAATGATTAATAGTACAGTTTGTCATAAAAGGATCCAATACTGCACACCTGAGACATAACACCCACACTACATATGTGCAGCAAGCTAAATAGATAGTTATCTATCATGTACATACAGGTCTGCTCAGTTTTTTGCCCATCAGAATGAATAAATCACATGTTATACCACATGAAACTTTTTTGACCTTGAAAAAATTGTTGCAAAAATTCACTACATAGAATTCTGTAGCTGCTCAGGCAATATTACTGAAGCTGTTTCATAGTAACAGAAAGGGTGTTACATGCAGTTGAGTTGATGAGATCACACCAAAACACTGGGTGGGTGTATGTAGTCAATCTTTTGAATACTTTTGTCAATCTGAAAAAAGTTACAGCATGTATTACATATGAATAACTTACGCTGATGAGCAGATAACTGAGCAGAACTGTATGTACATGATAACCACCTATTCACTGAGCCTGTTGCACATATGTAGTGTGTGTGTTCTGGCTTAGGTGTGGAGTGATAGATCATTTTATGACAAATCATACTCCCAATCATTTTTTCCTGCCCACTTGGGGAAGCCGAATAATGTTTGCAGTGTTTATCAAAGTCGTCCCAATACGTTCCATAGTTCAACTTATTCACGAATGAATTTACCGAGGGTACGTGGTCATCTTTCTTTGGGAAGGAAAGGTCGTTCACCATCCTAATAGATCCGTCTCCATTAACAGCACTCCCCATCGGATTTGTACTGAAGAAACCGAGCTTCTCAAACACCTCCTCGTGGGTAAACGGGCCAGCCATTCTACCAGCCAACCGTTCTTTTTCAATTGTTGCTTCTATCTGGCTCCTCGCCAATAGTGCCGACCTATGATTTTCCGGAGTATACCAGGACAGATTCCCTATTCGATGTTGAGGTATCCCTAGGCAAAACCCTTGCTTAAACCCGTTCGTGATATACGGGATGTCTTTCTCCAACCCCGCCTCCAACATCAGCTCAGCCCACTCCTTGATGACCATCTTACACGTGACTGGGCCTGGCCATACATTCTGTACCGGCACCGCAAAAATCTTCCTCTCCCAGAATGGAATCGGATCTTTTTTGCTACTTGTCACCTGTTCATCGTCGTGGCTGTCTGACTCAGAGCTATCCGACACCTCTCTCACCAGCTCCTCTAAGCGTTGCTCCACTGCTCTCAAAGTATCCTCTCTTGAGTGAAAGAGGACACCACTCTCCACGGGTCTGTTGGCAGGTGTGCTACTCTCGTCTAATAAATAGTAACATATGGAAACCAATTTTCGTTCAGAATTTCATATTCTTTCTACTTAGATACTGCGAGTTACAAGCTTCTGTGTACCACAACACATGCGATCACCAAGTACAAAGCGCAACACACAACAATTCACCCAAGCAGTCCAAAGCATTGAAAGGCATAAAACAGAAGGAAAGCGATGACAGGTCCCGGTCGGGTGAACAACGACAACACACGTTTCGTCAGTCCCACTTTTAGTACTTTAAGCACTTAGGAATTTCACTCACGCATTCTGTGCCTCTGTTGGTTGCGCTTTCTGTGCGCTAGGCGCTTGGTTTTGTTTTGCACCCTTATGCTGGTAGTACGGTTTCTCCGTATAGGTCTGTGGAGTTTGGGTCAACGGCTTTCCCGAGTCTCCTGTATTGACAATCGAGTCAGCACTCAACGATCCTCCTTGCAACCACTCCTAAGCGATTCTGAAGCACTAACCAGTTTGGTTCTCCTGGGCAGACTTGTTGCCCCTGTTGTAATGGAAGTTACCTTGATAGGTATTTCTCTTCTGATAGGACTTCTTGACCCCACCGCCACGTTTCCTTTGATTAGGGTTTGTGTTAACTTCAGCTGTTCTATCCACAGCTGTCACGGCGGAAACTCCAACTGGTTGTCTCCCGGTCGAAAAGTCGAAGCCAAATTTCGGACCCCCAGGAGCATAGGGGTTGTCTACATATTGGAGATCGCCTGCTCTATCCGCTGTGAATCTCGCCTTCTCAACCACCCTAGCCTGGACTCCGTTCGGGATCTTCACTATATCTTTCAAGACCGTCTTCCCCTTCACTTTGGACTTCACTAACTTCCGTTGCCTGAAAATCACCGTCCGCACCTTCAAATGGTACCTCAAGCCGATCATCCAACAATTGTACGACTTCTTCAGGTCTGAAACGATTTTCTCATGTTTCACAACATAATCCGCATAAGTATCCAAGCCATAAATCTCTCTTGCGTACCTCTCCTTGAGGTCGCACATCTCGATGAAATCTCCATAGGTCAATTGTTTCTCTAGTAACTTCAGAGAAGTCTTGGAGACATTCAGCTTGCTTTTCGCTTTCTGATCTTTTTGCTCTAGATCCTCATCGTGGTAAGATTCTAACAGAGCTATGTTGAATAGAGTTACCGGTACATAAGCTCGTAGTTTCCGAAAGCCTTTATCCCACTTATCGGGTAAGTCTGGTAAGTCTGCCGAGTCAAATTCCGTGATATTGTAGCCAAGTTCGGCTTTTTCAACTTCTGAGGAATTGTCTGAACTTTCCTCGTCTGACAAAGAGTTACTTGAGGATGAATCTGAAGAATCAGAAGGTTCTGAGTCTACCTGTTTCTTCTTCTTTGATGAAGCTTTCCTCTTCCTCTTTTTCTTCTTCGGCTTCGAGTCATCCGATTCATCTGAAGAAGACGGTTCCTCTTTCTTCTTCTTCCTCGACTTCTGTCCTTTGGACTTGTCAGAAGACGAAGAAGGCGCCTCGACTCGCTCAGCTCGCTTCTTCCCCTTCCGCTTCTTCGCGCTCTTCTTCATCTGGATTTCGATTTCTGGAATCGTCTTCGCCACAGCAGGAGGATGTACACCCGTCTCGGCACCATTCGATTGAGGTTCTTGGCCGCTGAAAGGTAACGACCCAGAGATCGACGCTAGCAATTGACTAGAGTCCATCAATCTCGAACTCGCGGACTTCTGTTGAGTCTGGGCCTGAGGTACGCTCTTTTGACTTTCTAGGGCCTGAAGACTCGGCTGATCATGGACTGATCCTTTAGGTTCCGGAGGTACGTAACCATCGTAATCCATCGCCACCAGCGATCCATACGAATCATTGAAATCCGCGACCAGCTTCCTGGCTTCAACTCCATTGTTGGTATCCAACGCGTGCGTCAAGGCCTCTAAGAGCGCTCGGCTACGAGAATTGGCACCTTTTGACTCTCGAAACGCTAATAGACAGTCGGAAACCGAAACAAACAGGAGGAACAATTGTGTAAGCACCTGATTTTCTCTCCTCGAATTGGTCACTCCGTGAGAGTCTAGCGCCTACGGCAGCTTCTTTATCCTCAGACAAGACTTTAACTTGGTGTATTTGTAGGTCTCCAGGACTCTACCACCTCCAGGAGGTTTTATGGGCGCACTTGGCAGCACCAATGAAGAACACTCCCTTCCGACCAGCAAGTCTTACAGCGCTCTTGCAGCCTGCATCCTGTCACTTCATCTTTTTAAAGGGCGCCTACGGCAGCTCCTGATCTTCTAGATCTCCCACGGTGCGAGGAATTACGCAGAAAAGGAAAGAGATATTCAAAGAAACTCTGTTACACACCATCAATAGGTACACCTTCATAAACTTTGCTCTTCTTCAATTCCTCCTGATGACGTTTCTCTGCTTCTCGTCTCACTTCCAACTTCTCCAATTCTCTCCTCTTCAGTTCTAGCGGTTTCACATCTCTAGTATCCGACTCTGAATCCGAGCTCGATTCCAGGCTATCTTCTTCTTCTTCCTCGACGAAGGACTCCTGAATCACACCGGCCTTGGGTCCAGCTCCGTGTATCACCTGATGGCTCTCCGACAGATCCTCTTCTCTAGCTATTCGACCCGCTTCTTGTATCAGATTCATGTCGACATTTCCTTCACCTTCTTTCGGAGCCCTCAATTCGGCTCTTCTCCTCCTCTCTTCTGCCTGAGCTAGCTTTTTCTCTTCTGCTGATCTCGACGTCGATGCCATTTCTTGAAGACGAGCCTTGTTCAATAACAACTTGTCTTTCTGTTCCTTGTTCATTCACAATAAAATTAGAACCGGAATAGTATGTGTTGTATGTGTCGGAAAAGATTTATGAAATGTGATTTAGCTATTTAATTTCCAGGATTGGAAACTTTCTACTTCTTTCTTTCTTTCTTCTATCACGATAAAAGTTAACCCTCAGATACGAGAGTGTTCAGATAAGAATGTTAAAAACTTTTTATTTTCGAACGCTTAAGGCTGTAGAAGAAAGATGAGAAAATAAAGAGAGAAACAAGTTGAGGGAGAGAGAATCAAGGGAGAAATTCTAGGAGAGAGGAAAATTTTCCCCTCTCCTAAGAGCGCCACATTCTGTTGCGGCTCCGAATTTCGGCCCCGAACCACAGGGCCAGATTTCTCCCCTCACTTGTGTGCCTCTCCCCTTCGGTATTGGACTAAGCATTACCGTCGCAGGCTTGGGGTAATTCTTCAATCAAATCAAATCAAGTACTTCTTCTTTAACTTCTAATGGTACAGCTATTCAAGAAATTTGTGTCATGTCGACACGAATTTTTCAAAATCTTTCCCAGCGCCACGCGCCAATACAGGCGCTGTGCAGCGCAGCAAAGCTGTAACGGGATCTTGATCCGGCTTCCCATACCCCCATATTGTACCGGCCTTGGGGGTTGGTTTGTCGGTGTATGGTTCTCAATCACCCACGATCTAACCCATATCCGCCTCCTTCTCGCCATACCCTCCATTTCAATGCAAAACCAAACATATCACCGGTTGGCTTTTCCTTGTTTGGTCAACCAAGACCCACAATCTATCTCTTATCCGCCTCCATCTCACCATCTCCTCACAAACAAATTTCAATACGCCATACCAATCATTGGTGGGTGTTTCCTTGTTTGGTCAACCTTTTTCTGACAACCTCATCTGGCATGCAGACCTAGCAACCTAGCAAAAACTTCCCCAACCACGAGTAGGCCGAATGCCTGAAGCACTTCAAAAGGCGGCCTCCTCCTGGCTTTCTCCCTCCAAAAATCTCCATATTGTCAACAGCAAGACCACAATCACCAGCTTTTCTTTCCTAACTTGCAGTATGGCCAACAGACGTCTTTCTCAAGTTCCATCGTAAGTCATCTCTTTGACTTACGTTGTATCCTCTGATTGCTTTGTTTCATCTCATCCCTCATCCTTTCACTGTGATGGTTGTAGCAGGCCCACCAACAATAGACTTGATGTGATGTCATGCGCAATCCAAACTTGCAGCTACCAAGCTCTCGTTGAACAAGGCATTGGTGGACCTTTGTAAGTTATCGGTGTATATGCCAATCAACCTGGCTAACTCAAACCATCTTTCAGGATGTATGCCCAAAACATGTTGCCTTTGACCTACGGTCCTGCCTCCCCAAAATCGTTGCCTTTGAAGGGCACCAACAGACAGTCCTATTATCCATCTGCCCTGATCACGCCTTCAATTACGCCTTTCTTGAACCGTAGTCATGCTGGCCTCACCCCCTCATTGTCACAATCATCCTTGGTTTATACTTTCAACCCACATATCAATCCTTTAATCTTTGAAAGCACCCAGCCAACTGATTCTCCACCAATGGACCTCACCACCCTCTCACCTGATCTCAATTCGACAAATCGTCCTAACGCCTCCAAGAAAAGGCCCACATTGACTTTAGATATGGAACCTGGAAATGATTTTGCAATTGTTGACCGCAGTAAGTGACTGAACTGACCACTGTTTTGTAAAGCTAAACATTGCAATCTGATACTTTTGAATTGTTCTATAGTTACAATGAGCAAGACCGAACACAAGGCTGATGACGCAGGTAAGCCTCATCTCCTGTTCTTCACAATGATAAATGAACAAAATCCTAACCCTCTTCCTTGGTCTAGGTTTGGTGGACTTACCAACCCCCAAAGCTTTGCTGGAGTCTTTAACTCAGAGTTCCCCAAATGCCAGACACTTCCTAGTGTCTTTCAACTTTTGGAATTGTGTAATCCCCAATGTCAACACTATCAATGGCAAGAAGCGGAAGAAGACGCCTGGTGGGACCCAACCGAGCAAGGTCAAGACACCCGTCCCGAAGTTTGAGAATTGCTGCCCCAAGGTCATGGTCAAACTCACACTCAACACTCCTACTATACCCTGGATTGTTTTCAAGCTCAAACTCTTTCAATCTTGTGACAAGAAGATACCATGAGTCTCTGGATGCCTCCGCAAAGCCTGGTCTGAGGGTACCATTGATATTCAGGCTTTCATCAACGGGGCTTGTCAACGCAAAGCCGTGAAGATGGCTATCAAAGATTCAGATTCATTCAAACTCTTCATGGAGGCTGCTCAAAACGTCCCTTCAACAACCCCAATGGGATTCAAGATCTTGCATGAGAACACCAAGCTCACTCGGATGTCCAATTGCCACACGGAGGATAAGGAAACACCATCCGACGAACTCAAAGATGAGCCTCAGCCTCAGTCCAATGGTTCTGCAGGTGTAAGTACCCAACCACTCTGACCCCTCAAAATAAGTTCTCCTAGACTGATCCATATGTGTGTCTGCTTACAGTCAGATATCTTGAGCGCTGGTGAACGCAAACTTTGCTCTTTGATGCAACGTTTTGAGAAAGACTTCAAGTCTGGCAAAAATGTCACAACTGTGGCAAATCCCAAAGACCCCGGTTTATGTCTCCTACTCAATACCACCCGCATCCGAACCCGGGCAAATGATTGGGTAGGTGACTCTTATATCTGATTGTTTTTTAACTCCGGCCCTCAAGTTTCTAAGTGTTTTTTTCATTATGCCTTCAATCACACAGGCTGACGGGGTGCCCGGTGTTGACGAACTCAATCCACCGATGTCTTGACCGGAGTTTACTTGGATCAAAGTGTCTGATTACGAGAAAGAGAAGAATCTCCTTCTGGGTTCCACTCCAGCAAAAGCAGGTCCCTCTTTGGCCGGCACTGGTGCAGTCATTCACCATAACTACTACAGTCAACCGTACCCATCGTGGCCACCATCGGGAACCACTTTTGCGGTGCCGTTGATCAACAACCCTCCTCAGCCAGGGCCCACCAAACCGCTTTGTTTATCTCCCCCTCCTCAGATTCCCCAATTTGGGGGAATTCTTACTCTTTGCTGGTGTTCTTCCCAAGATGAAGAAGACTCGTGATGTTTTGGACAAAGAGGGGATTGTTGAGTTTGATCACCTGTTGGACCGCAAGACTTACACGTTTGATAACTTTCAGAGCATGGGTATTCCCTTTGCTCATGCTGATGCCTTATGGAAGGCTGTTCCTGAGTTTAACCTCCACTTGAAGTCGCTTTGAATATTTTGCTTTCTGTCATCATGCGTTTCCAAATTTGATTCTCTTGATCCAAAACAGTATATCCCCCCTCAAAGAAAATTATCATAAGGTTTTGGTCTAATGCTGTGTGTGCTCACCAATGATGGTTATCAAAGTGATATTTCATGAGACTTTTTGTATCCAAATCCTATGTTCAGGATTGATTTTTGTTTGTTCCTCATGCTTGGTATTGTGATTCCAGTTCTATATCCCCCCCAAAAGAAATTTATTTCAAAGTTTTCTGTCCAATGTCTTGATTCCAGTTCTATATCCCCCCTCCAAGCAATTTATATTAAAGTTTTTGGTCCAATTATTTGTGTGCTCACCAATGATGGTTATCAAAGTGATATTTGATGAGACTTTTTGTATCCGAATTCTTTGCCTATTGAGTTAATGTCCTTGTTTTATTTTCTCTTGTGATTACAGTTTGTGAGAAATGTTAAAACATGAGTTAATTGCCTATTGAGTTAATGGCCCTCATGCCAATGTGTTACCAGTACTTGAGAAGCGTCAGATCAAGAGTTGATTGTTTTGATTACAAAGTTACCTCACAGAAGTCAACAAAGATGAGTTCATATCTCTCATCGCGCCAAGGCAAATGTGAAAAATTTGCCAAGTCACTTGTGTGACTTTGACGCACATATTTAAATACATGTACTCAAGGGGGCACTGTGGGTATTCTCTTGAGGGGGACATCTCACGTAGGAAATCTTTTGGAGCCAAAGCTTATTCATTTCAATAAAAGCAATGGTTGTGAAATTACAAAATACCATAGCCTACTTTCTCACTTGCCCTACACCCAGTACCCGCACACCATGTACAACTTATGCATGAGAGCCCCCGAAAAGAGTTACCAAGTGTGATCCATGATGTGATCAATTTTTTCATCATTTGCAGTTTCGAAGAGTCTTTGGGTCCAACAAAAGTGTGACTTCAACACACTAAAAGCCTTTTTGATCGGGTTTAAATCCGGCGAGTAAGGTGGGAGGTACACTACGCATATACCTTGTTTGGCAGCAAGTTTGGCGATCCGCCCTTTGTGGTGGATCCAGGCATTGTCCATCACAAGGACAGAATTTGCTTGAGGGTACGCATTCATGACTGGGAACTTTTGCATGTTCAACAGACAAATACAATCAGGGATCAAATATTTCAGAACAGTGAGAAACAAGTTGGCACTCACCAATCGATGTTTTAGGAAACCTTCAAAAACTTTCCGGACGTAACTACCTTCTTGGCAGTCCAGAGCCAGAACCCCACTGCAGAAGATAGCCGGCAACAGGGAAAACCATTTGCCTCCTCGGGTGCGTGGGATACGCGAGGTACGTTGGCCATGTCTGGCCCGACCAAACAGCCTGTGGAGGGATCGCTCCTGGATAGCACACTCATCTGACGGGTGGAACTCAGTCAGTTGAGATTCTTTGAATCACAAACAAAAAACAAATCAGGGGAAAACCCACCCAAGAACACAAGCATGTTGGGGGTCAGACCCCCAACTGCATGTAGGTACTTAGCTCGCAGCAAAGCACACTGATTAGGGTGCACGGTGCAAGCTTTCTTGAGGGTCAAATGTAGTCAAACCTTGAGATCGCTTGCGATTGTTTGTGAATAGATCCAGGTACCGGTACGTTGATAAACCGCGTGCCGATACTTGTCTAGGTAGAGAGCAGGATTTGCGTCTAGTAACTCAAGGATGAAATCCCTATCCTTGTTGTTGAGCGCAGTTTTTCTTCCAAGCCGTTCATAGTTTTCAGGGTTGCGCACAACAGATTGGGCTCTTTGGTATAGGGAGTGCCATCTAGAGATGGTGCAAGCGCTGACAGGGGACTTTAATAACCGACGGACTTGATCTATTGTTTTGCCATTGCGGAGGTGCTGCACCGCGAGGACTTTGATGCCTACGTCATATGGACCAGGACGGACCCTCATGCCTAGAAGGGTGAAGGATTAGAGAGAGTATCACAGTCAGAGACCCATATCTGAAATGGGAGTGACAAATATTAAAAACATACTTGAGATTGCTGAGGAGTAGCAATGGATTGTTTGGGGGAAATTTTTTTCGATGTGTCAAAAAACCTTTGACAAAATTCAAAGGGTAGAAGGACTTGAAGGACCCCAATCCCGGATGATGAATATGGGGGACGGGGTTGACCAGTTCTCCTACCCGTTACAACTTTGCTGCGCTGCACAGCGCCTGTATTGGCGCGTGGCGCTAGGAAAGATTTTGAAAAATTTGTGTCAACATGACACAAATTTCTTGAATAGATGTAAACCAAAACCTAAACTTTTGTTAAAAACTGATTCACATAAAAGAACGAGATTGGTTTATTCTGCTCATGAAATCAAACCAAATTGAATCTTTGTGTAAATTCAATTGAATCAGATTCAGAACCATCAACACCTACAATTGATCCAACTCAACTTAAAATCACTTGTCAAATTCTGATCAATAGAATTGATTCACCTTTAATTACTTACAAAACAAGATCAACAATTAGTAATTTATAAACCACCTGTTCATCTTACTTTAATTCATCATCTTTCTTGTTGAGAACAATCTGATCTTCTTTTTGAAAATGAGGTGAATAATGTTGAGGTTCCTATGGAACTTGATTGAAAACTATCTATCAAATTCAAATTCACTCATCTCTATAGTTGATTACGTCTTTGTTGTTTTTTAAATCACCCATCCATAGTTCAGACTTGATATCTCTGTTGTATTCAATTGGTTTTCTTTTTTGTCTTTTTGTAATTTATGAATTCACTTCGGAATCAGAATTGTAATGTGTTGTATTGTGTGATAGACGTAATTTTGGAGCTGATTACAGTAGATTTCAAAAGTCTCAAAATCGACTCGGTCTCAAAATCCACAGATGGTCTGTGCGCCTGGCAGTTAAGTTGTGGCAGGCGTCAAACTTACCTGGGTGATTGAAGAACATACATACAAAAAGATACCATTTTATCACCACAAAGAACCCCATTCTGCCTCAGTTTCAAAGTTGCTGTAGCTTGCTTGGATGAGCGATTCACTGGTGTGTCGTGGGCTTTGCCTCTGAGTATCAACCGCTCGAGTTCAGTCCCAGCTTTTGCTATTGTTGGAACTTTTTGTAGCAAGTGTTTCTTCCGTTTCCTTGCCTGTTTTCATGAAACAAAACAAAGAAAAAGGCAACTTTTGTTGTCGCATTGGATATTTTTGTTCACATTTTTTTGTTGACTAACTTGACAAAAATATGACTTGTACAAAAAGCAAAAGGGCCAGTCAAACACAAAACTCATCCACACGACATCCAGCACGACTGGACTGTCTACCACTACTCCACCAACTAATGAGAGTTCTGGTGAGTTTGAAGAGTTTGATCTCAGGTTTGGGATTTCAACATGTGTATTTTCTTTGATCGGCCAGGTAAGTTTGACACCTGTCACAACTTAACTGCCAGGCGCACGGATCATCTGTGGATTTCGAGACCGAGTCGATTTCAAGACTTTTGAAATCTACTGTATCTTCTAAAGTGAACGTTTTAATCTTTAGATTGTTGTGCTTGAAACTCTATATGCGTACAATTGTCCCGCTCTTCAAGGTATGCTTGGCATACACTGTGGGAAAAGCCCAGACGCCCGCCAGGCTCACGCCAACCTGACGTGAGCCACGGGCTTGCCTTGTTTTTGAAGCCAACCCAAATTTGGGCATACGCACACCCGGGCCTGACGTACACCACGGGTTCATTTGCGGGATACAAAGTAGAATCCGGGCACGTGCGCGGCTTAAAAAACCAGATCGCATTTTTGGACCACCCTATTATCC